TTCAATTACCCATAAATTATTCCTCTTCATGGTGACTCACATAAGCCTCAGGCTGTTCTTCTGATTTTTTTTTTTTTTTTTTTTTTTTTTTTTTTCCTCTAGCATATGAATATTGAGAGATTTTTTTTTTTTCAAGCTCAGTAATGTGGCTTTCCATTGATTCAATTATTTTTCTTTGTCCTCTCAGTGTATTATGTATTATCCGTTTCTGAATTCTTACTATTAACCTTCTGACTTTTTAGTTGCTGTTTTTAGTGTAGTTCCCATTTTCCCTATTATTTTGTCAGTTTGTTTCTTGAGATTTCCCATAGTTTTGTCTATGCTCACAATCTATTAAAGTTGCCTAATTAGCAATCTTGTAAATTCCTCATCAGGGAATTCTGAAAATATTTCTGGTGTTATATTTATGACTGTATATTTTAGTCATTTGTTTGAGTCTTGTAATTGTCTGTTTTCTCTGAGACATTGTCATGTTTATATTTAGTTGATGATTGTATATTGGTGTATTCTCAGGCACTCACCACCAATTCTGGTGGATGTGGTAGAGACTGAAAGTGTGAATGCAGTTAGTTCTCTGTTCACTATTTGTATACCATAGTTCAGGGCTGGTTTACACACCTCCAGAAGCAGGGGCAATATACCAGGTGCCTGATCCTAGGCATTGCAGAGGCTGTGCCAGAGGGGGTGCAACTGGTCACTGTGTTAGCAAGAGAGAGGACTGGTCATGTCCCCATCTACAAGGATGACATGGGAACAAGGGAGAACTGTACTCCCTTGTGACCAAACTCCAGCTTCTTTCTGTGCTTGCAGGTTACTGTATCAACAGGAAACCCAAAAAGCTTAAGATGACCAAACTGTTCCATGCCAGTCCACAGTCTTCCTGTTTTTCTTCTCTCTGACTACTTGTGTTCAACTTCCTCTTCCAGTTTGCACTCAATCCATCTCTCTATTCTATCCTTTGATGCTCAGGGTTCTGCAGTCACCATCTGTACCTGTTTCACTTGGTCGCTCATGTCTTATCGCAAAGGGTCCACTCAGGGTGTCTGTTTATTCTTTTTGCTTCAGACTCTGCATAAATTATTTTTTTATCAAAAAACACATAACCAGTATGTTGATTTTCTACAATGTGTCTGCAGTAGGAAAATAAACCTGAATTTTCTTTTTAATTAGCTCAGTAATTTTGTTGAAGCTTGAAATCAACTAACTCCCTGAGCATAATTAATCAATTTACATGAAATTATTTTCTATAAACTATATGAAAAGTCCATAAAATAATTGATGAACCACTTTTCATTTTTCCATGTATACCAATGTAAAAATAGCATTAATGTTTATTTTGTATGTTTTAATTAACACACTGTAAAAGTTATTAAATCAGCAAAGTGAATGAATTATTACCAAAGTTATATCTTTGATTCTTCCTTCTACTCTAAATTCTATACCTATAAATGTAATATGAACTCTACCACCACAATATATTTTTTTAATTCTTGTTATTTTTCCAATTCTCTTTGCTACTCAGTCTGTTGAAATCTGGTATAACCCCTTCTCTATCCTCATTCTCTCTATTATTCAACATTGGCTTCTCATCATTACCAGATTCACTGTAAAGCAGAGCTCTAAACATTCCAATCAGAGCCCTGGTACTACAGTGGTTAAAGCACTTGAATTCTAACCAAAAGTTCAGTGATGGGAACCCCGCAGATAAAAAATGTGACAATATGTTTCAGTAAAGATGACAGACTTTGATACCTTGTGGGGCAGTTCCACTCTGTTCTATAAGGTCACTCTGTGTTGACTTGACAGCAGGGGGATGTTGGTTGAGTATTCCAGAAACAATAAAAGCCTGAACTTCTCAAAAACTTGTAATTATTTGACATAGTTTGCTAATTGAGCAAATATCTTCAGTTTGATGTTTAAGTGTCCTGTAATGTGAACTTCTGGTGTGGTGCTGTAAGATCAGCACTTGACTGTGAACCACAAGGTCAGCGGTTCAAGACTGCCATCTGTTCCTCAGAAACCCTATCTATATGGTTGCTATGAGTGGGAACTGACTCAATGGCACTTAACAACAACAATATGGTCCCAAATTATATCTATCACAGTAGTTTTTTGTTTTCTTAAACATAAACCTTGAATGCAGCTATCACACTAGGCTACTAAACAGAAGGTTGGAGGTTTGAGTCCACTCAGAGGCACCTAGGAGGAAAGGACAAACAATCTACTTCTGAAAAAATTATCCATTGACCATGAGTTGGAATCAACTCCACAGAAACTTTTGTTTCTTTTATTTTTATTTTTATTAATAATAAAACTGTATATGCATATAGATGAAACATTTTGCATATAGTTATGTGGAATTTATAAAACCTTTTTCACACTTCTTAGAAAGAACCCACTTTATACTCTCACATCCCACAACCCTACTACACATACCTTGAGTTCCTGTTAGATCATGAGCAACTTGAGGAATGACGCATTATTTTATGGAAAATGCACACATTCTCATGTATCCCATGATAATAACCAAATGTCTCCATCAAAAAATAGGGCCTCTCTAATGACTCCTTTGAGGTCTTTCAGAATGTTTTTATTCCCTTTATCTGCCCCCTGTCATAGCATTTGTACCTGTTACAGGGGAAGTTAATGTTCATTTTTTCAGTTTCTAGTCCTAAAACTTTAGTTGTTCATAAGTAACTTATTGTATTCTGACTTTTACACAAGAAAATGAACTATACTCATCTTGGTTAGCATAGGCTTTAATGATATTTAAACTTGATGTTTGTTTGATTCCTGTGAAATCAGAAGGATATTCTAATTGTCTTCTCTCTTTATATTTTTCAGGTTTCTTAAGTACAGGGGATCAGGCTGCAAAAGGAAACTATGGACTCTTGGATCTCATACAGGCTTTAAGATGGACTAGTGAGAACATTGGATTCTTTGGTGGTGACCCCTTAAGAATCACTGTTTTTGGATCTGGCGCTGGGGGCTCATGTGTTAATCTGCTGACTTTATCCCATTATTCTGAAGGTAACCGTTGGAGCAATTCAACCAAAGGTATTATGCAGGTTGCAAATTTTGACAATTTTGGTGTCTGCATGCCACCACTACCAGTAGTATGTGATGCTCTGTATATATTTCTCTGTATGAACTGAGTATTAGGCTGAACTCATTTACTCTTAAAAACTATGTTTCTTCTACTTTTCTGTGCATGTTTAAATTTTTGTCAGACTCTTCTTTGTCTCCTGTGAAGGTTGATAAGGATGCTCTTTTAAGCAGAATCAGAATAGTTGGAATTATTGTTGCTTTCCTTGCCTCCAAAGGAACCATGGTGGGACGTGGTTGAGTGCTCTGCTGCTAACCAATCTGTCAGTGATTTGAACTCACCAATTCTGCCACAAAAGAAAAGATGTGGCAAATTGCTTCTATAGGAAACTTTATGGGGCAGTTCTACTCTGTTCTGTTGGGTTGCTAGGAGTTAGAATCAATTTGACAGCAACAAGTTTGGGCATTGTGTTGCTGAGGGATTTTGTATGTGTGTATTTTAAGAGGGGAGTTCTCCAAAGAGTGATTCTTGTGTAAATCAGATAAAGATACTCACAATTCAGTCATCTCTCTTTATTCAGTAGCTAAAATCAAAGATAGGATTTTTTTTTTTTAAATATAGGGATTGTATATAATCTGTTTTCAAGAAATAGACTTTTAAAATTGTTTATTAATATTAAGATAATGATGATGTTGTATGTTATTTTGTCTGGTAAAATGTGATTTTCACTTGTTGTCTGAGTAGAGAATGGATGTTTGATTATTCTGCATGCATGATCCAAAATTGTCAAAGCACTGAAGTCAGTAGTAGAGCTTTTGATTTAACAAGAAAAATGCATTCAATTCTGTGCTTTTTCTGTTTTCAACTTCAAAAGTCTAATTCCCTCCACTCCCAAAGCTTGACAAAGCAGTGTGGAGCACAGAGGTTGCTTAAATTCATGAAATATTTTTATGTCTCTATTTTCTGGCCTGACACCCTTTTCCTAAAGTATCTGCCTAAGAGTCATAATGATGGTTTATATAGATTTCCACTTTACCATAAATGTAGTCACCTGTATAACCACATTATTGGTTTTAACATCCATGAGAACAGAAATGTGTTTTTGGGATAAGTCTGCAAAAGCAAAAAATTTCACTTAATTATTTGTGCATAATGGATAGGAAGATAAAGAATATATGTCAACATAAACCAACTAATTTATTCTATTAGATATAATTCTAAAGTATCTTAATTTATAAAACGGAATCTTCTAAAATGAACAACAGGCATAGAATATTTGACTTTGTTATCAAATTCATATTAATATGAATTTTTCAAAAGAATAGTCAGTCAGTAAATTGTAATATATATTAAAGAATCATGTACTATTATAGACTCAATTTATTGACATAGCTTATATAATATCTCATTTATATTGGTGGAGTTCTAACCAAGATGAAAAATATGACAGATACTAACATTTCTAGTTGCATAGGAATTTTGGTGGCTTATTTTTGAATGACAACTTTTTTTAAATTAAGCAAATTAGACTGTTCTAGCCTTTATTGTTGTTGTAAGTTGCCATTGAGTCTATACTGACTCATAGCAACCCTATGCACAACAGAATGAAACACTGCCAGGTCCTGGGCTAACTTCACAATTGTTGCCATGCTTGAGCCTATTGATGCTGCTACATTGCCAATCCATCTTGTTGAAGGTCTTCTTCTTTTTCTCTGACCTTCTGCCTTACCAAACATGGTATCCCTCTCCAGTGACTGGTCCCTCTTAACAATATGTCCAAAGTATGAGAGATAAAGTCTGGCCATCCTGGTCTCCAAGAAGCACTCTGGCTGTAGTTCTTCCAACATACATCTGTTTGTTCTTTTGGCAGCCCATGGTACTTTCAATATTCTCCTCCAACACCATAACTCAAGTCCTGCAATTCTTCTACGATCTTCCTTATTCACTGTCCAACTATTGCATTCATTGTTGTTGAAAATACCATGGCTTGGGTCAGGCATACCTTAGTCCTGAAGCCTCAGGACTATAAAAATGTCAGTACTTAGCTATCTAACATTAGATAACCTGTACAGATTTCTCGGGATCATCTGATCTCAAATGTTATTTCTTTCTACTTCATTCTAAATATAAATTAATAATGGTAGCAAAGTTCATTTCTGCCATTATTTAAACTAAAAAAATTACTGCCGATAAGTTGGTTCTAACTCACAGTGACTATTCATTGGACAAAGAAATAAATTTGTTAGTTCATCACTGTTAGCATTAATAGTCATCAACTTATAGTATTGTAAACAGTGGCAAATGGTTCCACAAGCAGTTGAAAACATAACATTTGATTATACTTTTCAGTGACATCTGTCTATCCCTTGTCAGAGACGACATGGACATATAGTTGGTTCAGTCCTAAGCCTATCTCTTCAGATGGATCTATTTGATTTAACCCAGAGATGCTGTAGAGATTTCTTGGAATCAGTATGATAATTCCATGTCTCCAAAGCAGACATACACTTAGAAGGTTATAAATTCTACACAAAGGGCTACAGGGAAAGTCAGGCCTTTATCTACCATAGGTCAGCCATATCTTACACACACATAACAAGCAACCCTCACTAATGAAAAGATGAGTGACTTTTCCAATGTCATCTAGATGGCATATTTTAGGGTACATTTTATATGATATGCATATGTGGCTCCTTGAAAACCCTATACAAGGTCTCTGTGAGTTGGAACCAATGTGACATCACTTAAAAACAGACAAGCAAAAAAGCATATCCCCTAAATCTTACATATAATCTGTACGATTGTTCAAATTATATGCATTTCTATGGTTTGCTACAGCATACTTTGCTTCAGCAAACAAAAATATATTCATAAATACTTCAGAAAATTAAAATAAATTTAGACTAGTATAATTTAGATTTTGCATACCTTTACCATTATCTACTGTCATGATGGAGTCCTGGTGTGGCACTATAGGGTCAGCATTGGACTGCTAACCACAAAGTTGGTGGTTCAAACTTACCAGCCAGCCCTTGGAAACCCTATACAGGGTCACTATGAATTGGAACTGACTCAGTGGCATTTAACAACAACAACAAGATCATGATACAGATACATTAATTAAATATTCACTGTTTGGAGAAAAGTCTTAAACTTTGTTTCTAACTCAGAAACTGCTTTAGCATGTTTTTTAGAGCTCTTCTCTCATTTACACATGTGAATTTTCAAGCATGTGTATAAATAGTTGTACCGCATGACTGTATTTGGAGATGGATAATAAATATATGTTATTAAAAGAAAATAGCTAAATATATATTTTAAACAAGAATTTTAGTAGAAACCCAACAAGTAAATTAAATGCATTTATAACTTTGAATGACATGGACCTCCTATCAAACTGCATATAGGGCCCTGATTTACAATGTTTAAATGCAGTTAAATACAAAGTACTGGGCTGTGTACTTTTGATCCTTTATGATAAAATATAATGCTCCACATTCAATAGAGGAAGATGTTAAATCACCCCCACTAAACCATTCTGCTGATGATTGTTTCTTTAACCTAGTGAAAACACTTCAAATATTATGTCTCCTTCTGAAAGATGTATACTCCGCATACTATGCCTGACATGAGGAACTGGAAAGTGTATGTCTGATGTGTTATTCTGTTTGTGTGTTTTAAGGGCCATCCCCAGTGTATTATCAACAATTCCCCCACCCAACTAGCTATGTGAGCCCTCAACATCTCTTGTTCAAATAATTTTCTTCTAAAAAAAAATCATTAAAAAAAAAAAAATAAAGATATTTTTGAAGGGCAGAAGGTGCAGGCAAATAGAAAACGCCAACAAAGACAATATAGTGACTGATGGAGAGATTTCAAAAGGGAGAAGGTTGGCACTATCTGTCTGGTTGTGATGACTATATAGGTGTGTGAAGAAAATCTTTGGGATTCTTACCTCTAGTATTTACATCTTCTCGTTCTCTCCTTGTTTTTGACCTTCTTAAAAAGCTGCACATTTTGGACCTCCTGAGTCTTGAGGCAGTTGCCACTCAAAGTACAAGTCTTAGATGTAGCTCTCTGACTCATTAAACCCTGGGGATGGCTTTGTGTACTTTCTCTTAAGCAAAAATGTCTCTATATGACTGTTTCTTGAGATACAATTGGGTTTTTATGTTTATGTTTAAAATATCAAAATTGTATTTTATCACAGTATTCAAAGGTCATCTGAAAGTTCTTTGTCATTTTTTTCATAGGACTTTTTCAACGAGCAATAGCTCAAAGTGGAACAGCCCTTTCCAGCTGGGCTGTTAGTTTTCAACCTGCAAAATATGCTAGAATGTTGGCGACAAAAGTTGGTTGCAATGTTTCAGATACAGTAGAGTTAGTGGAATGCCTACAGAAGAAGTCTTATAAAGAACTTGTTGACCAAGATATTCAACCAGCACGATACCATATAGCCTTTGGACCCGTGATTGATGGTGATGTAATACCAGATGATCCCCAGATATTGATGGAACAAGGAGAGTTCCTCAACTATGATATAATGTTAGGAGTTAACCAAGGGGAAGGGTTAAAATTTGTTGAAAATATAGTAGATAGTGATGATGGTATATCAGCTAGTGATTTTGACTTTGCTGTTTCCAATTTTGTTGATAATTTATATGGATATCCTGAAGGCAAAGATGTTTTGAGAGAAACCATTAAATTCATGTATACTGACTGGGCTGACCGTCACAACCCTGAAACCAGAAGGAAGACTTTATTGGCTTTGTTTACGGACCACCAGTGGGTAGCACCTGCTGTAGCTACAGCAGATCTTCACTCAAACTTTGGTTCTCCTACATACTTCTATGCCTTTTACCATCATTGCCAAACAGATCAGGTTCCAGCTTGGGCAGATGCAGCCCATGGAGACGAGGTTCCCTATGTGTTGGGAATCCCTATGATTGGGCCTACAGAGTTGTTTCCTTGCAATTTCTCCAAAAATGATGTGATGCTGAGTGCAGTAGTAATGACATACTGGACCAATTTTGCTAAAACTGGGTATGTACCTAAGGAATAAATTTTTCTTTAACGCTTACTTAAAAATACCTTTGAAAGCAATTTGCCACAGAACTTGTGACCACTCTATGTGCGCCCAATGTTTTAATATCAGAAATATAATAAGTTCCTTCATTCAAAAACAATTCTATACTGTGTTATTTTAAAAAAATCACTGTTTTATTAGTTCTTACTTTTAGACATTTCTTATTTAAGAAAAACTTATGCTCTCCGTGGCATTAGCTGCCAACTTAATATATTACTTTTAAAAGAAGATTGGGTTTTTTAATTATACAAGATTAATTGTTATTGTTGTAAAATAGTAGTAGCATATCTTACAGTGTTTGCCACTGTATAATATCATACACACTTTAATCCTCTCAATTGCTCTGTGCGATAGCCAGGCCAACTACTATCACTTCCAGTTTTACAGAGAAGACACCTGAAATTCTGAAGCCCTCATTTAGATGTTCACATGTCTAATACATGGTAGAACCAGGACTCAAAAAAATCCTTATCTGCTGATTCCAAATCTCAAGTAGTTTCCACTACTTCATGCCACTGTTTACTATGTGGCAACTCTTATGAAAGACCTCTATAAATTTCAAAATGACTATTTAAAGGTTTTTTTAAAATCTGTGGGTAGATAATAGCCCACTTCTAAATGGGTAGAGAGGACCTGAATATAAAGCTTGCCAGTGGTACATTATAACCCGTCAAACAATCCAGGTTCTATATGATTGATTTTTCCAAATTAGCCCAAATTGATGTTGAAACACTATCTAGCTTGTTTATGAGTTGCCCTCCAATAGACTTTAAGCTACTACCATTTTGGTTAAGAAACAGAGTAACTTAATTTTGTTCTTATAGTTTCTTTTTTCTTTCCTAGTGACCCAAATCAACCAGTCCCTCAAGATACAAAATTCATCCATACCAAGCCCAACCGCTTTGAGGAAGTAGCATGGACCAGATATTCCCAGAAAGACCAACTTTATCTCCATATTGGATTAAAACCAAGAGTTAAAGAACATTACAGAGCCCATAAGGTCAACCTCTGGTTGGAGCTGGTACCTCATCTGCATAATCTCAATGACATTTCTCAGTATACCTCGACAACAACTAAAGTGCCATCAACTGACATCACTTTCAGACCAACAAGAAAAAATTCTGTACCTGTCACATCAGCCTTTCCCACAGCCAAGCAGGATGATCCTAAACAACAACCAAGTCCATTTTCAGTAGATCAAAGGGACTACTCAACAGAGCTGAGCGTCACTATTGCAGTTGGAGCATCACTGCTGTTTCTGAACATCTTGGCTTTTGCAGCCCTTTACTACAAAAAGGATAAAAGGAGACATGATGTTCACAGGCGATGCAGCCCTCAGCGCACTACTACCAATGATCTGACCCATGCACAAGAAGAGGAGATCATGTCCCTCCAAATGAAGCACACTGATTTGGATCATGAATGTGAGTCCATCCATCCACATGAGGTGGTTCTTCGGACCGCCTGCCCCCCAGATTACACACTAGCAATGAGGAGGTCACCTGATGATGTTCCCTTAATGACACCCAACACTATTACAATGATTCCAAACACAATACCAGGGATTCAGCCCTTACACACATTCAACACTTTTACTGGAGGACAGAACAATACTCTGCCCCACCCCCACCCTCACCCCCATTCACATTCAACAACAAGGGTATAGCCAGATAAGAGAAACAAACTATTTTTTTTTGATGGATTGCAGTATATGATTACTGAAGATTCCTTGGCTTTCAACCTACAAGACTCTTAATATTTAAATAAGGAGAAATATTATGTGAATATACATATCAAGGATTTTTGGGGGTTTTCAAAATATAAAATGTACATATATACACAAATCAACTTTAAAAATGGATTTCAATTGCTAAAAGCAATTGTTCTGAATGATACTTTTTCATTCACATTCAAGAATTAATTTTTGGAAGATTTAAGTTACATAATGGAATTAGGCATGTGGAACACCAAACAGGAAAGAACTATGTCTGAAATATAAAAAAAATAAAATTAAAAACAACAACAACAACTATGAATATGCACAAGGGACACACCAATGGAATGTCAGATAATTTTCACCCATTTTTATTTGAAGCTGTTTTATTGTGTAGACCATATTTACATATTTGGATAAGTACACAAAGCACCAATGCTGTTAATGGCCTTAGCAGAGGCTCATGCTGAAATTTGCCAGTAAAACAAAGGAGTTTAAAGACTGGCAGGTACAACATTATCACATAAGTGCTGTCAGTATAAAATTGTGGGGATAAAGGAAACTGGATATTTTTAGCACGATGTGCATGATAATTTATATGCTTGGTGGCTGTGCTTCTGATTAAGCTGTAATTAAAATTCTTCTCATCCCATTGGAGTTTTTAATAGAAGCTTCCTCCATCAATTGGCAGAACCTAAAGAAGATATTAAGGGGCAAAAGTAATTACAATAAAATAATTCATAGTAGTTTCAATAATAGAAGGAATTAGTTATTAAAGGTATTTGAAGAAACTGTAGGTGTAGTGGAAAATACTGATATGAACACCAGAAAAAAATCTGTGTTTTTAATGTTCTTTTCATTTCCATCTAAATAATTTATAGAGATATTACCCTAATTGGACATGTACTACAGGATCTATAATTTGCTGTGGTTTTGTTACTTTGTAGTTTTGTTCCTTTGGGAAGGTAAAGTGTGTCCAAAGAGTTAATTTTATGATATGAGGATGCCCCAATACTACCACTCTGATTGCAGATCTCAGTTAATTGATTTACTCATGTTGCATGACAAAATGTTTACTACTAATAATTCAATATAAAGTTATGTCCCCCGCTCACATCACTTAACTTTCTCACTGAGGCTCATTCACTGGAATTTACTCACGTAATCTCAATAGAGTGCAACAGAAATACAGAACTTAGAAGGACAGTCAATACCTGGAAGATTTTAGTCTTACACGTGTGTGCGGTTTTAAAGGAATATTCTGAGACCACAGGAAACTCTTCATCCCCTTGTTCTTTACCAGTAACAGTATATCACAGACCTTTCCAAATGTTTGTATATGTAATCAGATGTACATTTATATTAAAAACAAATTGAGATGGACTTAAAGAGCACATCCCTGATAAATACTTTCTCTCTTACCTGTATTATATTTCTATTAGACTAAAGTTATGTGATTTTTTTTTACATTTTTTCAGATGACTAGCAATTTTGATAGTTTGTAAGATAATGCAAAGAACTTTCTCTGACAAACTAACTGCAGTAACAGAAGCCTTTCTTTTCAGTTACTCTTTTTCAAGAATGAAAGATTATTATACAAAAAAAAAAATTGTATACTACTTGATGGAAACAACTTTGTACATCTTGGCCATGTCGCTGGCTATTGCGTGAAATAAAGATAATCTGGATAATGACTATTAGTCCAATGCTAAGAGACATGATCTTTGCTCATTAAAGAGCTAAAATGTTTATTGCTGTTCTGTCTTTTATTTAAAAAAAAAAAAAAAAAAAAAGGGGGGTGAAGAAAGAAATATGACTGTCTCAGAGTCATTTTTCTAGACCAGACATGTTTTTGAAGACATGTAGGTGACTTCTACAGAAAACACAACTACATATTTAAAGGCAAGTCCCCTCTGAAATGATGCCTGATGAATAACATGATAAATCTAAAAGCCCCAGGAACTCATGATTAATATTAGTTTTGTATTTTTAGGTACCTATTATGTGAAGATGCTGTAGAAATAAAATGTGCCAGTTGTTTCAGTTCGAAACACAGATTCTAATTCCAATCATCAAGGAAAAGGTCAATTGGAAGTAAACATTTAGGTTTGTAATATAAGGGTAATTAAACTATCATGAAGTAATGGAAAGATATCTTTCTGAGATGTTTTAAAAGTGCTGAGCAAGACATTAAACTGACACTAGAGGTTGAAAACCTAGTTCAAGAAATATCTTTGCTTATAATTCCCCTTAATGAGAATATTATCTGTTAGTACTGTGTAGATAGTGCTCCACCATTTAAAAAAAAAAAAGAAAGAAAAATTCTGTTAGAAAAAAGTCTTCAAAACCCAATGTGGTCTTCATTCAGTTTTTGCCTGATGTGGTTATGGTTTTAGACACTGAACTAGCAATGTAAAACAATAAAAAAAAAAATACTGTTTAATCAGAAAACTGTATTTTACTACATTGAACAAATGATAAAAAAGCAGGAATAGAAATAACAACAAAATATATGAATATGTTTCATGTGCGTTACTTCACTTGGCAAGACCAGATATTCTATGACATTTTAATGATGGTCATATTTATGTCTATCTACCCATTGTTTGCCCTATATTTGTCTATCAATCATTTGACACCATACTGATACCTGCTTTATATTAATTTACGGAAATGATTTAGGAAAATAGCATGGCCCTATTCTTTCTAAATTAATTTCTGTAACCTGGTAGGATAAATTTTGTGAATGATAAATCAGTCTAGGTTTTACTACTGTTTTCAAGTCATGTGATGAAGTTATTGTGAATGAAGTGTTCGTTGCTAGTCTTATCATTACAGCAGCTAGTTCTCTGAATGTAATATAATATTCCATATTGAACATGACATTGAGAACTGTTTTTAAAGCTGAAACATAATATTTAAATGTGAGAAATATTTTGAATATTGTTAGTAAATTTTAACCAGTATGTTGAGGATGTATTTGTTTAGATAATAATTTCCTTTAGAAAAAAAGAAAATCAGATATCATGAATAATATTTTTGGCCTTGTTTATTAATTCACATTTCCTTTCTGGGTTTAAATTGCAAATAGCAAAAGCTGCTTGGAATTTATACAAACACTAAGCCAAAAAACAAAAAGAGATTTTATTTTAAATTGCTATGATATAACATTATAGTCACATGTTTATCAACAGATTCATGTTGTTTTACTGTATAAAATTAGAAATACAAAAGTGACAGATTTCATAGTCTTAAATTTCTTTTGAACATGTTGACGCTGAACAAAATCTAGTACAGATAAATCATATGGTTCATCATTCAATTTTATGCAAATTGGAACTTCCTTTGCTAACACATTAAAAAGATCATATTTGAATTTGGAGAGTTCAAGCACGAAAATCTGGATAAAGCATAGATTCTTCCTTTCCTCATTTCCAATAGAAAATTTGGTTATCGTAATACTTTAATTCAGACTCTTTGATTTGTACAACGTGAAACTAGCAACAAAACTTTTTTCTAAAAACAAACTAGACAACCAGATAGTTCAAAGGGTTAAACAGAATGCCACTAATTTTCTTATAGAAAAGAAATGTCAGTGCATAATTTTTGTATGTCTATAGCATATTGTTCTGTAGCTATTTCACCTGTTGGTCTACTTGTACTGACACATCTGAAGATCATGAAGTAATGCAGAGACTTGACAAACCTGTTCCAGCTTTAAAGACGCCGCTATGGATAATTTAGTGGAATTTTTTTTTTTTTTTTCCCCTTTGGCAAGTTTTACTCAAGTATTTTCATAGGACAAAATGATAAATGGAATTCTTAGGAAACTGTAAAACACTATGGCAGTCCTTTGATGTTAGTAATTTTGTTTTCTTCAGTGTTATTGGTTCAAAGTACTGGCCTTTTCCTTCATTTCCAGTAATTAGTTGCTATAGACTATCACATTTTAATGTAAGTGAAAATTAGATAATTTGGTTATACTTGTGAAAACATGCTGCCAAATAAATTCAATTAATGGGCACTTCCCTGCTGAGATTTTTGTTATCATTCACTTAATTATCTTGTCAAACTTTTCTGTTACAACCATTGTCTTGACTTTTTAGTCAATAAACTAAGAGAATTTCTCCAACAGCCTTATACCTCTCCTGCACTTGATATGATAAGAACATACACTTCAGATTTCCATCAGAGATCTCTAAAGAAATTTCCTACTGATATGAAACATTTGGTGGACAACTTGATTCTTTTTCATAAGCATTCTTATTTGATTTCATTCTGGAGCTTTGCTTTATTTGTTTTCAGGCCAAAAATCAATTATATTTGTTAATACCTGTGAAGAATACAGACTGGAATAACCGTGTACAGACCTTAAGTGCCTTTGTTACTGGGGTTTCATTTATAAAGCTTTATCATTATGATTTCTTTTTTTAATTTGCAGATTCTGATGATTCAATTTAAAATGTGCAGTAGGATAACCATGTCATAAGTTGCCATTTTGTTTAGGAAAATCTTTTCTTGCATTAATATGATTTTTATGTGATATCAAATGGGCTGAAATAACTTCTGGAAATGACCAAATGAGGCAAAATGGTAAATAATTATTTAATGGTGCTTACATATAGAAACAAAGCCCTAAAATATTTTATATGTTTGCCAAGTATGTAAGTTTAACTGAAAAGGAATTTCAAGTAGTTAAGGACAAGCATTTACTAGATAGGTATATATATTGTCTAGTTAGCGATTATATAAACTATATACTATATGCCCCATACACTGTTTGATACATAGAATATTCTTGATGGCCCCTTCATACTCATATATTTTTTAATGATATTGTGTATCTTCCTATAATTGTACTGATGTGACAGAATTTAGTCCTCTGGAGAAAGTCAAGCCAAAGTGATAACATTTTTGTGTTCAAACTAATAACAGTTAAAGCTTTAAATAAACTTGTAAAGGTACAGTAACAAAAACTTAGCAGACGAAACTTTAAAAAGGAAATATTTTTAAATGCCATTTTCAGAGTTGATATCTACATTAGATGGTACATTTAAAAGGTTTTAGTGTTTTTGGTTTAGCCTTTCTCCTCACTAATATTATTTAGTCAGTTAATTGGACGTATGTCACAGATTTTGTAAACAACAACAACAACAAAACCCGTTGGGTAGTCACGATTCAATTTGTGTTTGGGTATCCATGGCTTTCATTGAAAAACACATTTTATTATCATGAATAAATATTACAATATTTTTCAAGTTGTGTTAACTTTTTAAATTCAGAAATAATTTCTTTCATGTTTGACACACAGGAAAATATTGCCAAGATAATTTCTTTGCAACTTGTTGTGTTACTCCCATCTATAGTAGACAGTTCTAATTTGATGGAAGCAATTATATTTTATGGTCTATTAACCAGTTAGTGATTGCAGGAAAAGAATCTAGAGAAGAAACTTTGGAAGAATGGACATAGTTGTTATACTGCTTATCAGAAATGAGAGGAAAGAAGAACCAAGAAAGGAGGGAGGAGAAAAGAAGGTAAACTTGATTTTAAATTAATAATCTTTTGCCTCCAAATAGTTTTTTTTTTAATATAGAGGTAAGCAAAAAAAAAAAGTTCAAGACTGCCAGTGCGGTAGACTGGCACAGTGGCAGTAGCAACAGACTCAAGCGTAACAATTGTGAAGCTGGCTCAGGACTGGACAGTATTTCGTTCTGCTGTACATAGGGTCACTGTGAGTCAGAATTAACCTCACTGCACTTAACCACTATAAATTAAAGAATCAGCACTGCTTTGCAGGTCTCTGTAATATATAGTTATCAGTACCCAATAAAACAAACAATTCAGTATTCTAAGACATTCATTTTCCATGAAAATCCTTTGGATGTTTTGTAAGATTTAGTTTTGTTTAATATGATTACATTATTTACAATATATTTATACTTCTGTGCAGGTTACAGATGTTGTATCTTAGTTCCAGTACGAGTTCCATGTTTTTGTTGTTGTTAAGTGCCATGGAGTCAATTCTGACACTTGATCCTGTACAGTATCCTCTAGGCTTTAAAACTACACTGGAGCAGAAAGCCATATCTTTCTCCTGTGGAGCAGCTGGGGAACTCAACAACGGTTCCTGTGGTTCACAATCCAGTGCTTAGTGTATGGCATCGTCACACTCCCCAAAAGTTCCACTGTTGTTAAGTGCCGTCGAGTTGGTCCCAACCCATAGCGACCTTGTATAGGGTTTCCTAGGAGAAGTGGTGAGCTTGAACCTCTGACCTTGTGGTTCCATAGACAAGGTTAAGTCAAAAGTATTGCTACAAAACCATAGAACTCTTTATTAAGGAAAAATATCAAATGTGAAGCTATTGTTTCTCAATACAGTCTCCAACTAGGTCTATACACTTCTAAAAGTGGTCTTTCCATTTCTCTAACTCTTCTCCAAACAATTCTGCTTTCTTCAATAACTATGTCAAAGTAACAGCAATCAAATCATGTTCCTTTTCAATGTTTTTTTTTTTTTTTTTTTTTTTTTTAGTTTGGGAAACAAAATGGCATCTGAGATCCAGGTTGTAGGGTGCATAGGGTAAGGTTTCCTAGTGAAATTATCATAGGGCACCCCTTCTTACACTGAAAAATGAACAGGTGCGTTGTCAGAATGTAAAACAAAAAATAAGTCCTCAGCGCAACTTTACTGGCTTTTTCTTACCAATGAAGTTTTAAATTTCTTAAAATTGTAATCATCTTCATAATAAGTCCCCATGATCATT